AGGTATATATACACATCACGTAATGCATACAGGCTGTAGCGATGGGTTTGTACATGTCATTATGTTCTGATGCTTTAAACCCACGGTCTTCCATTCAGCTGTCCTCAACATAACATGCACCTGATGAATCCCGTGCCAGTGTGTACTGACTCCCATACTGAGAGACTGTGATATCCGTATTGGTTAATACCAGCGTTATCTGCTTCAAAGCCCACAGGCAAGTGTCAATGTACATGCTTAAAGTATTAGTGATCACTTGAACACGTCGGTGAAACCTCCCCTAATCCCTATAGTATTGACCGTTGTCAGTGCTCGCCACACGTCTTCAGTACAAATCGCATCAAAGAACTATGAGAAATAACGAGAAAATATCACTGACTGAGTGAGTTTGGTTTTACGCCGCTTTTAGCAATATTCCAGAAACAACACGGCGGGTGACACCAGAAATGGGCTTCACACATTGTACCCATGTGGGGATTCGAACCCGGGTCTTCGACGTGACGAGCCAACGCTTTAACCACTAGGCTACCCCACCGCCCCGAGAAAATATCAACTGTTATGGGATGCACGTATACAAGTATACAGCAATTTGGGACAGACAATGTATAGGGCACTTTGCACTTGCTGGTAGAGCTCTTGTTATCCGTTATCAGTACTGACAAGATGTCCGGTGTCCAACCCTTCACAACCTCCATCGTACAGATAGGTTGTGCTGTACGTAAAGGAAGTTAACTCGTTGACCTTCATGGTGAGATAGAAGCAAGTTGTGTATATGTGTGTGCTTGGCAGCTTGGCATGATGGGAAGAAATAAAATGGATTGAAAAATTAAATCAAGCTTTCTTATATACTTTGTTATTACGACAAAGAATACGTTGATTTTAATTGTGCACATATGAATTTTAAGTAAACATGTCAACATTCTGCACAGACAACTGTGTCATGGGTTTAATTTCGTTGTCTGTTCAGATGCATACACAAATGCAATGGTTATGCATGATGCATGGTGCGTTGTGCATTGCTGGATATCCACGACATTTATATGCAATGTTATCTGCTATATTATACACAATATGTAGACATTTTATTGTATTTTACTACATATATAACCTACCACTCCGTTCACACACCATATGCATGCGTGCAGGCATGTAACTTCGTGCATATGCTCTTCTACAACCTGCAGTTGGTAATCGGAGTGAACGGGCATTGCATATTGCCGCAACAATAGTTATACGTGATGCATACCTATTCGTAGCGAAAATATTATCAGAGAAAAAATCTGATTATTGATAAACACATGTATTTACTTTCCAGCAATGTTTCTGTGAACATAAAAGAGAAATGGACAATAAAATAACACCAGAGATGTGAACATGAACAAATGATGCTGTTATTGGTTGATATTGAAACATGTTCTGTGCTTTACCTTCTAGAACACCTGCAGTATCATCTACGAAGCAATGTATTTTTATGTCTTACGTACATGCACAAAAAATGGATGTAAAGTTTAAGCTGTGCCTTGTGGTAACCCTCTCCACGATAAGTCCGACATATTTTATTCACTGTATACCTTCAGTACCTGATTGGACATGTCTGGGAGGTATATAAGTCAGTGTAATGATACTCAATGTCCTCTGGTACGGCCTGCACCGTATACAGGTCCCCGTACACCTTTCACACCGACCATGAACACACGTAGGCCTAATACTGCAGATCCATTCAAACTTTATCTTTGTACACATTGATAATTGTTCGTTCCTGGTGGGTGAGTCATACAACATGTGGGTCACAGGACATCTAGGGGCCTGCTGGCTCGTCGAGACACAACCGGGATGTAAGTAAATATGTCCATGCATAAAAACAAACACCAGGTTCCACATGCATTCATGCATGCACTTCAAATTCTTATGACAAATGTACATATTACTGGTTTAGATTAACTCAATTCAATATCTGAATTTAGTATGATAAAATTCTGACACAAAAACAGACTAAGAAACACCCTAGTGCTGTTGATATTGTGTGTGGTTCAAGGTGAAGTCCGGATTAGACGTTGCTGTATTTTGAATGATGAATCAGGGTTTTATAACTGTTATACAACTATGTCAGTTGATGAAATATATTCATCACATACAATGCATATTTTGAATTCAGCTTTTATATTTGTGATGCGCCTGATGGTGTAGATTGTCTTTTGTGGAATCAGTAGACGTCTTGGTTCTGTTTGCAGTCAAGGGAGCAACACTGGTAGAAATGTGTACGAGGTTGACCGAGATATGAAATCGCCCCAACTCTGCACAGGGGGTACAGAAGGAAAAATATGCAATTAAAAAAATGAGCTGTTTTTATTAAATATTTGACCTCTATTTGATGAGCAGTAGGCAACGGTTGCTAAGATTATATGGCCCACGACATTTATAACATGCATACACGACCAACAGCCGGATAAACAACGTGTAAAAACATTGTCTCGTACAACGGTTAAATTGACCGTAACGTGGAACAAGTAGAGGTATTTGTTGTCACACACGCCTCTCTCTCTCTCTCTCTCTCTCTCTCTCTCTCTCTCTCTCACACATCTCTCTCTCTCTCTCTCTCACCCACACACATATACATACATATATGCTCACAAAAAACCTCTGTGTTGCTTGTGGCAATTCAGCTGTATACATTATATTTGCAAATTTGAACAATTTGTAATTTGGCTTAAATTGAAGAAGGATGTAAATCTGGCTGTAGACTAGAACGACCCAGACTATGACGTTAGCAGTATAATAAGCACGGAGGCTAATCTTTTAAGTCTTAAAAAACGATTACGCCCTCTCTGCATTAGACCGATTAGACGCCGGTGTGTAATTTGACCGCTGGTTTCATGAGCTGAAGTCTTTGGCTACAACTAAAAGACAAAAGTTAAAATCCTTTGGGTGGTTTGAGTAGGTAAATGACAATCTCTTAAGTGACTCGCAAACGAGGCAGATTCAGGTGACCTCGAGTAAGGACGTCAAGAGCTTGATCGGGATGTTGTCGCACATACACACAATATAAATGTGGTGCTCTTTCTGCTTTTGTAGTAAGTGGCCTTATGAGCAGCCCGGATCCGCTGATCATAAATTTAGATTACTTCCGGTTACGTTTCTGTGTTTGTCAGGACAATGCTCGGAGGAGTGAGTGAGTATGGTTTTATGCCCCTTTTAGCAATATTCCAGCAATATCACGATGAGGAACACCAGCATTCTCAAACATTGTACCCATATTGGGAATCGAACCCGGGTATTCGGCATGACGAGCGAACTATGAAACCACTAGGCTATCCTCCCGCCCAACAAAGCTCGAGGGTAACGAAACCGGGTGTCAAGCTAGCTTAAGTGGCTGATGCATGCCAACGTACCCCAAATGCATACGTGCTCATGATGTCAATCACATGATTGTTAACGGACAGCCGTCATATAACTGCGCAATTGTTGAGTGCGGCGTAAAACAAGCTGACAAGCCTAAAGTAGTAATTGTCTTCGACCTGTGTACCCAGGGTATTCCGAGGGTTATATATTAAATACAGTTAGAATTGGTAACACCACCTCACTCACTCCCTCACTCTGGTGTAAGCTGACATTTAGCAACAGTTGCTGAGTTTATCATGTGACCGAGACAACCTCGGAGATTTAGCGATAATGCTGACTCCATAAACAGCGGACTAATGCTCTCTTGTGGCAAGTAGCTATCGGCATCTGTTGTTGGTTGTGTCAATAAGTAGGTGTCGTGCTGGTAAATGTGACAACACTGTGAGCTAACTAACCTAACACCTGCATTCATTGCAGTCTGTCGAGGCATTAACCACTTCCACTGAATACACGTCGTTTATATAAGGATACAATAGATGATAGTGTTTCTTCTTCGAAATATTTTTCCGAGTTGGAGTACTTCATCATTCAGTAGCTTTGTTAAATTCTATCAAACTTTATATGAAAGCATGGTTTTGGAAGGTTTCAGTGAAACGTGAAATGAAATTTTTTTATTAGTGATTGAGTAATCTGTTAAGCAACAGCCAGCCCATTTCATCGGGTGCTGAAACAAGAAGATAGCATCATGCTTTGGAGGAACCTCCAGAGGACCCTTGTGTTCAGTTTAAGTGAGTGAGTGAGTTTAGTTTTACGCCGCACTCAGCAATATTCCAGCTATATGGCGGCAGTCTGTAAATAATCGAGTCTGGACCAGACAAACCAGTGATCAACAGCATGAGCATCGATCTGCGCAATTGGGAAGCGATGACATGTGGCAACCAAGCCAGCGAGCCTGACCACCCGACCACCCGTTAGTCGCCTCTTACGACAAGCATGGGTTACTGAAGGTTCATTCTAACCCGGACCTTCACGGCTCTGTTCGGGATAAGAGGCCAGCGCCTTGGCCACTGAGGTAATCCAACGCCAGTGGTATGTAGGTCGTGCGTGCGTGAGTGAGTGAGTGAGTGATGATGTGCAGATAAACTGTTTTAATCCGTATGGTATGTTCCCAATGTATGTCTGTGAGTTTTGTTAACATTGAAAAATATTCCAGCTCTATGAGAGTGGGCTGTAAATAATCGAATCTGGACAAGGCAATGCAGTGATTGACATAATGAGCATCGATGTACGCAAATAAAAATACGTCATGGATCAACCTTGTCATCGAGCACGCGATCCCGCCAGTGAAATCTTTTAGATTTACGAAAAATGCAATATTTTCAATGAGTAATGAATATAGTTCCCTGAACATTTTCGACCGGGCAGCCTGGCATATGACGAAACTAGTTTAATCGTATAAGTTACATGTATCTCTGAATCTGTTTAATTTATCACGCCTGATTTTGGTTTCGACTTTTTCAACATACCACAGTTAATCTGCCATTGCTGGTTTTGCAGATGCTCTTAATATTTTAAAATCAAAAGGATACCTCGTTAAGTAAAACATAATTCTATAAAAAAAAGTACCCCAAACTAAATATTCAGAGACGAAACGCCGGAAATCGATCGAGGAAATATTTTTTTTATTGAATAGGCTGGTCACTGTGACATAATGGAAGCATACACTATAAAAATGTCACAGGGCGTACTTGCAACTGATCTATGCATATTAATGATAACCATATTTCTGCCCCAAGTGAATGCATTGACACCCGTGATGCTTCATGTGTAAGACATGATGCAGGATATGAATATGTATGTATATACTAGATAAGTATATCATTAATATTTACTAGTGCCATGGTACTGCTGCCCTCGGCACCTCACAGGTTTTTCTATTACATTTTTAGGCGACACGCTGTAGAAACTTTTTTCAGAAAAATAATTGATAACAGATAATTTAAATGATCGGGTGAAAGTTTGTCTTTTTGCCCATTAACATAACATATTGTACATACGAAAACATACAGTTTAAACAGAACATATGAATCTTACGAAGTCAGTTGTATAAAAAGGGAAAATGCAATATATATTTTCTCAAAGATATTCGTTAATGGTTCGTTAAACCACAGCCATAAATTCAGAAGGGAAGTTTGCAACTGTCTGTTTGCCAAATAACATAACATGTTGTACGAAAACATACAGTTTAAACAGAACATATGAATCTTACGAAGTCAGTTGTATAAAAAGGGAAAATGCAATATATATTTTCTCAAAGATATTCGTTAATGGTTCGTTAAACCACAGCCATAAATTCAGAAGGGAAGTTTGCAACTGTCTGTTTGCCAAATAACATAACATGTTGTACGAAAACATACAATTTAAAGAGAACATATGAATCTTACGAAGTCAGTTGTATAAAAAGGGAAAGGCAATATATATTTTCTCTAAAATATTCGTTAAATGAAGTGTTTAACCAAAGCAACCAACTGCAACTCTGGAGAACCTTTTCATCACGTTAGTCCAGAATACGGACGTCTTTAGGAGTTCTTGGAGTTTGGCATTGGTCCAGGTTCTTCGTGCAGGATTATACCTCTGAAAGAAAAAACAACATCTTTAGATAGTAAAACGCAAATTTGCGCTCTTATACATGTTAAATGACACCTGAAATTTGTTGCTTCACAAACATATACAGTGCCAAAAACTAAATATTATCACATAGGAGGGTCACCCGGAACATTCACAGATCGTCGTTTTGGGTGTCGAATGTTTCTCTTTGATGTGCCTCTACCATCAGTGTACATGGCCTGCAGTGGTCGCGTTTCTGTCACTAACTGTAACGCATTACATCCAGCCAGCCAGCCAGCCAGACAGACAGACATTTTATTTCAGTAATGTAGGCCATTGACCAATAATACAACATAGAGCAAATATAAAGAATACATACATGCTGGATGTAGGATAACGATTGGAATACAGGGTCAATTAGTTGTAGTAGTGGGTTTACTTCTTAGTTTTAATACAGTGGAGAGGAATGTAGTTAATGGTTTTAGATAATGTATGTTGTTGCAAGTAATTAAACGCACAAAAGTTTCAATTGTTGGAGGGTGGGTCTGGTGGGTTGTGAAACAATTATTTCTTATTTCAGAATATTTGTCACAGATAAGTAGGACATGGAGCTCGTCTTCAACATAGTTTAGGCCAACAGAGTGGCAGTAAAGACAGAGACGTTGATCATAGGGTCTATTTGTGTGGCGACAAGTTTCCACTGCTAATCTAAAGTTGTTACAGCGGAACATAGCCATAACTTTCCTTTGATATGGAAGGAGGTCACAGGACAAGTAGTGTTCAACATTAAGTAAAGAATTACAATCTTCTATGGATGCATTGATGGCATTTAATATTCAATATTATACATGCCAAACTGGAAATATATGAAATAACTATCACGTAAATTGATTTAATGAACTAGCTTCCCAACACGATGACAGATCTCGTGCGTGCACTGTACAGTTGACATTCATCTCACTACGGGCATTCATTTTGAATACATTCTCGGGAAAACCTAGACAACATATTTCTAGCCAGACATATATTCATACAATAGTTCTATATCAGTGGCGACATATGTCCGGCTCCCAAGCTTTCATATATCATGTATCTGGTATAATTTCATATGTACTTTTAGTTAAGACAAATAACGTTTATATAACATATCGGCAAGCCCAGATGATATTGTTATTCGCAGAAACCGATTAAATTGGATATAAACTGCAAGATAGCGATAAAAACATATAAATAGATCACTTAAGATCAAAGATGACACCAGGTGTTCGGGAAAGAACATACTGTCATCATAAATAATAGTAAAATGAAAAAACATTATTTATTTACTGCCTTTCTCTTCTGATATTTTGTGTTCGTAGAGTTGCTGAATACGACACGTTTTGTAAAAAACATGCTTCATGATAGTCTTATATATCTACGATTTATGCATCCGTCAATGAAGCGGTGTTTTTAGACTAATGCTTAGTCTCTGAATATATATAATTTTGATAGTAACAAACAAGCCCATTTAAATTGAGAAGGAGCCCCAGGGAGACCAGAGATTCAGAACCTGAACCTGAGGAAATCTAGACTTGCTTCGTTTAGGGCTTTAGCACTGCAGAGAGGGCTTGGCAGTAGGGAAAATAATGTGGTTCAGGGACTTTGAGACAGACTACGGTGTTTTATACTGCCTTTGTTTCTACCGATAATCCAGCATACGCCTTGGTGCAATTAATGCAAGCACTGCCATCCGACTAAGTATTAAGTTTGTAGATTTTCAACATTGCCTTCACTGATCAGCAAACCGGTTTGAAACAACGTTCCACAACTTACATAAAAAGTTCATGCCCAACCATCGAACTATGATGGAGTGGTTCGTGTATCATGTTTAACTAAAATTCCAGTAGTTTCTTTCTTCGTACCTTATGTTTTATAATATTTCATCTTAGCTCCCAATCTCCCTCTGTGTTTGTTTCTAATGATTGCCTGTGCTGTCATTTGTTGCTGTAAATATTCTTGGAGAGGGTTTTAATAAGTTGTAAGAACTTGTCACCGATGCGTTTCACTTTGTGAATAAAATATGTTTAATCCATAGTCATATTATTCATGTTTTACGTTTTAAAATATTTAATGTGTTTAAACAAACGTGTCATTGCAGCCTTCTGTGTTTAGGTACTCTAATATACTACATATACAACAGAGACAATCACAATAAACAATCTGTCACTGGTGAAAATTGCAGGGACCCATTTAAACATAAACGTCGCCATCAGTTCCAGTAAATGGCACAGGTCACATGCCTGTGTGTGTGTTGACAATGTTGACAATGTTGACAGATGAATACAGCGGTGTGTAGGTTGCATGTTGGAAGTCGTATAGTATCGGCTAACTCTACCCTACAATCACAGTAGCTGTACGCTGGTCCGACCCCCCGGGGTCCAAGTCTGACCCTAGTGACTCACCCAGCAGGCATGTGTAACCCTTTTACTGCACACGATGAGAATGGACTTTACACTAGGAATATTTCATACATTGTACACAGAAACTTCACAGTGTGGCCGGGTGCCCTACAGAGATCGCCACTGTGTGTGTAGTTAAACCTGACAGGCAACATGTCTATATGCAGTGTAATCCACTTCACTGCAGTCATGAGCTTGTACACGTACACAGAACATATTATTACACCGAAAATAGAACACCATCAAAATTATCAATAACATTATTTGCACTGCAGGCTGTATCTGTTTAGATAGATTGGTAGCACAGTGGGTCAAGTATTTGCAAAAGACCGGTTAGCTTCTTATATTGACTGACTGAGTTTGGCTTTACGCCGCTTTTAGCAATATTCCAGCAACATCAGGGCGGGGGACACCAGAAATGGGCTTCACTCATTGTACCCATGTGGGGATTCGAACCCGGGTCTGCGGCGTGACGAGCCAACGCTTTAACCACTAGGCTACCCCACCGCCCCTTCTTATAATGATATACTCATGATACCGAACTCGGTGTGCAGATATTTTGAAATGACTACATTCTAAAAAATCCTTTGAGAAGTTTAAGAACTATTTTAATTTGCCGTTAAGCTTACAATCTGATGTCCATGATTAAAAAAATCTGTTGTTGTTTCGACTTGAAAGAACTGAGAATGCTAAGCTGAATATTCAGTACAAAAGGTTTCGTTAATAGTGTCTGGATGCTTATGTAGCCCGCCCAGCGACAATGCATTCAAGGCAGGGCTTTGTATAATAGCCGCAATTATTTAATTACTACAAATATACAACAAGCAGCAATTCAGGCCGAGCTCTTTGTTGAAGGGTGACGTTTCCTACCGCCGTTGACGTTAATGAATACACCCACCCCGTCTGCACTTTTCATATGTAGAGTTAATGCATTTTGAAATATCAAAGTGCAGACAGCCATATGCGCATTATTCAGATTTACTTCCCACGCAATTGAAGTCGGCTGTGATAAAGCTCAAGAGAGATCCTTTGAAAGGTCAGCTCCGAAATGAGATTACACTCTGAACAATGACAACTAATAATTGGCCTTGGTCACGATGAACGTAATTCGTGATTGTGCTAAAATCATCAAAGATATTAATTCCATATATGACCATTCAGTCATGATCAATTCATTTTAAATTCTAAATTTTGTTATTGAAACAATTTATAATCTTGGGGTGGAACGATATCATTTGCATACATAGCGAATACATGTTTACCATTTTTAAAGTTGGCATTGCATTTATGGAATAACATGTAAGGTGGTCGAACGATCATTTTTGAAAAACGAAACTGATATTTGAAGGATTTCTCAATCCGCTTCTAGCAAAGATCTCTGCGATACATTTAAACCATGCTGTAAATTTCAACATACATGAACATCGATTTAAAGCTGATAGCATTTGCAAATGTTAGCAATATATATATTAAAGTTTAGACCAGATAGAATTAGGGCTTGAAGTAAACTGATCCTTTCATAGACAAGCGCTTTCATCTCCACCGAGCCACATCTCATTTCAAAGGAAGAGCTGACTCAATATTTATATCTGAATATAAAAAGAACATTACGTAAGTCAGAAAGTGTAGATTAGCACAGGATACATTTACATGTGATTACCATTATGTGTAATAACAATTTCAGTGATAGATAACTTCAGTTCTTCAGTAACCACGCTAATTTTCATCCAGAATTTTCTCAATTTGTTTCTAACGGATTCTTTCGCAAAGAACCGTAAGGTAATTCCGTACGTTCTCATGCAATGACAGTTTCACCATACAAGAAACCTCTTGCATCAGAATAACGGAGAGGCCACCATTTCTCTGATAACATGGAAAGCAATATTATTGATGCACATTAACTACGTTTATAACGAACATGGTTGTGACGAACGGTATATTTTTTGTCCCGAACACTTGCTGAATATTCTATTCTATGCTTATAACGAACTACGGTTATAATGAACAAAACTGGTTGTACATTGAGTTCGTTAAAACGGTAGTTTACTGTATTCATTTCGTGGATGAATTGATGCACATTTACCAGTAGTCATTACATCTTTAACTCGAATTCCTTCAGACTTTTGTGAAGCTGGATATAAGAAGAGTGTAAATACCGATTCTGGTTCAACTTAAACGTAACACTGATGGAGGTCTGGGGGGATGTTTAATAATGTTCTATATGTTTCCACTGGACTATCCAGGTGTAGGGCAAATCCCACCAGGTCTTTTCCCCACAAAGTCATTACCCCATCTGCCATTTCCCCACCAAGTCATTACCCCATCTGCCATTTCCCCACCTGAACATTTCCCCACCCAAGAATATTATTGCCTGGCCATTTCCCCACCTCTTTGAAAACACCTCCCAAAATTGATGAGTTAATAAGTGCATCTGAATGGAACACGCAGTTAACATCTCACTGTAAACAATATTGAAAGAAAATAAAACTGTGTTTCATATGCGGACGGTGAAAAATGTATCGGATAATTTATTAACTCAGTTGCGAAGAAAATCCGCCTGAGTATTAAAGAATGTAATATATTTGGTAA